TGTGCAAAAATAAACCCCTGATGGATCAAAAATTTAAATGTAAAAACTAAATGCATAAAATCTAATATGAAAATCTAGAAGCCTACATGCATGCTGTATAAGAGTGGGAAAATATTAACCAAGATTGAAAATCCAGAAGCTACAACAGGAAAAAAAGGGTACAAATATTTGATTGTATCAAAGTTAAAACATTTTTGGGGGTGGCAAAATAGAACATAAACACAATCATTAGGATAATTTTCTTTTAAAAAGGAAAATATTAGATTTAGAAAAAAGTTGTAATGCAGGTGGCAAGCCAGGGGTTAACAGCTGTACTATACAAACAAATCTTATATATCAACAAGAAAAAGACAAACACTTCACAGAAAAATTGTGAAGTCGTGGATAGAGGATTCATGGAAAAACAAAAAGATTCAGTTGAATGCTGTGTCTCATGCCTGTAATTCCAGCACTCTGGGAGGCTGAGGAGGGCAGATGGCTTGAGTTCAGGAGTTCAACCACAGCCTGGGCAACATAGCAAAACCCAGTTTCTACTAAAAACACAAAAGTTAGCTGAGCATTGTGGCACATGCCTGTCGTCCCAGCTACTTGGGAGGCTGAGGTAGAAGAATCACTTGAACCCAGGAGGCTGATGTTGCAGTGAGCCAAGATCCCGCCACTGCACTCCAGCCTGGGCAACAGAGACTGTCTCAAACAACAACAACAACAACAAAGAAACACACACACACACACACCCCTACTCTTTAACTGGTTTCTCCATGTTGGTCAGGCTGGTCTCGAACTCCCAACCTCAGGTGATTCCCCTGCCTCGGCCTCCCGAAGTGCTGGGATTACAGACGTCAGTCACTGCGCCCAGCCCATGCCCAGCTTTTTAATATGCTTTTCTTCCATTTTCCCTTGTTATTTCCGTAAGTCCTACCATTCAGATATTGAACTGATGCTGACATGTTCTTATTCATTCTTTTCTATTTTCCACCTCATCCATTCAGTGAATATTTAGTGCCTACTATGTGCCAGTCATTAGTCTAGGTGCTCTCTCACCAGGCTGGACTGCAGTGGTGCAATCTCGGCTAACTGCAGCTTCCACCTACCAGGTTCAAGCAATTCTCCTGCTTCAACCTCCTGAGGAGCTGGGACTACAGGTACGTGCCACCACGCCCAGCTAATTTTTGTGTTTTTAGTAGAGACAGAGTTTCATCACGTAGGCCAGGATGGTCTCGATCTCTGGACCTCATGATCTGCCTGCTTCAGCCTCCCACAGTGCTGAGATTACAGGCATTAGCCACCGAGATGGGCCAATCAGGGAAGATCTTAATGAGAATGTAGTTGTATGGCCTGGTGCTCTGGCTCACATCTGTAATCCCAGCACTTTGAGAGGCTGAGTGGGGTGAATCAACTAAGGTCAGGAGTTTGAGACTATTCTGGCCAAGATGGCAAAAGCCCATCTCTACTGAAAGTACAAAAATTAGCCAGGCATAGCGCTGCTGACTTGTAATCCCAGCTACCTGGGGACTGAGGCAGGTGAATCATTTGAACCCAGGAGGTGGAGGTTGCAGCGAGCCAAGATCACACTACTGCACTCCAGCCTGGGCAACAAGAGTGAAACTCCATCTCAAAAAA